AAATAAGATATGTTCCGGATTGTGGGTGCATTTCATGTGACGCAGTCCAAAGACATGTTTTAAACGACGTTCACATTCCTAATAATAATAATTAATAAAGGGGTTAAAAGATAAATTTGCACATAAGTTCATATTGTATTAAAAATCAGATAAATAAGCCAAATATAACAGTTGAGCGAGCGTGCTAAAACCACGGAACTCGGGAATGCCTAACACCTTCTCCCGAGTTAACAGAATTCCTTATTTAGATTTCTGGTACGCAGACTGTAATATAGAGTCATTATTTTCCTCGATTCGGGATTAAAATTGGTGACTTGGGACACCCTAAATCTCCCAAGTGGCGACTCTGAAATAATTAAACGAATCCCGTTTCGATTGTCCTTTAATTGGAAAAAACTCCCATGCGCCCATCGGGTGCGGAAAAAGGAGGTGTGACAATCACTACCGGCCTCTAAATAGGTATGATTTTCGATTAAAATTGAGTTTCTCCCACAGCTTTTGGCTTTCCTAAAATTTGAGTTTCATGTACGTATTTATTTCATGAATTTTTTTTAATATCTTGGTATGAACTGTGCATCAGTTCATTTATCTTGAATATTTTTACCTTGTTTGTCCCATTGACTTCTCAAAACTACAAAGAATCCGTAATTTCAATAGAGTAACAGACTCTTGATCAGGAAGCTTCGAGACGATTATTGTTATAACCTAAAAATTGTTAGGTTTATAATATTAATCTTTCTAAATATTTAGTTGTAAAGTATTAATCTATCTATACTGTATTAGAAACACGAAGGCCCTTAGCAAAATACCGTTCGTATTTTTTACCCTTATTTAATTATTTACATAATATTTAGGAATTCAGAACCAACTAAATTTGGCGTCTTCAATTCTTCCTAATTTGAATTGTGCCATATAATAGATTTGTTTTTTTTTTTTAAAAAAAATCACACATAAAAATCAAATTAGTTTGTGGAGTCGTTTACATCACCCCGACCTCCTTTTAGTCTTAGGAGTCCTTTTGTTTGTTATTAAATTTTAACTGATTAATTTCTTATATTATTTTAGATAAATTTTGGAGCACTTTTGAATTCCTTTAAGGTTTTGGACTGGAACACTTTAAAATCCTTTTAGGGTTAGAAGATTCAAAAATTTCATTAATTCTTTTCGTTTTAAAAGCCTCGCTATTCTCCATTAGTGATAGTGATTGGCTATCATATTTACAAGTCTGTGATGAGCCTTTCTCCGTAATTTGTTTTATCTCTTCATACACTAATTTGATGAATTAGAGCTTAATTTTTTTACTGTGTGATAGTGATTGGCTGTAAGTAATTTCTTTTATGAATTAGAGCTTATTTTTTTTTATTGCGTAATAGAGAGAGAGTGCGAATGACAGTGTCTATTTCAGACAACCAGTTCGGGTTCATGCCGGGGCGATCTACCACAGAAGCTATCCACCTTATTAGAAGGATGGTGGAGCAGTACAGGGATAGGAAGAAGGATCTCCACATGGTGTTTATTGATCTGGAGAAAGCATACGATAGGGTTCCTAGGGAGGTCTTATGGAGCTGCTTAGAGGATAAAGGGGTCCCGGTTGACTATATTAGGGTGATTAAAGACATGTATGCTGGAGCTAAGACTCGGGTTAGGACAGTAGGAGGCGACTCTGAACACTTTCCAGTTGTTACGGGGTTGCACCAAGGGTCTGCGCTCAGCCCATTCCTATTTGCCCTGGTGATGGATGCACTGACTCATCATATTCAAGGGGAGGTGCCATGGTGCATGCTATTTGCTGATGACATTANCATGGCCCTTGACAGGGAATTATGGAGGTCGAGCATTAAGGTTGTAGGTTAGGGGAAACTTGTGAATATTTCTACAGCACAATAGAGTGAGACTAGCCAGTTAGGAGTTAGACTAAGAATGTCATTGGTCGTCTATTGATGCAGGGCTTTACCTGCTAGTTGTACTATACCAACCATCTATTTCGTATTTCGTATTCTGTATTTCATATCTCTTATATGGCTGGTATTTTATTATGCATTTTTATGGTACTAATATATCGGCTCCTGTTGCTTTTTTGAGCAGAGAGTCTCCTGGAAACAGCCTCTCTACCCTTCGGGGTAGGAGTAAGGTCTGCGTACATATTACCTTCCCCAGATCCCACTTGTGGGATTATACTGGGTCGTTGTTGTTGTTGTTATAGAGAGTAAAAGGCGTTATTCAGATTTGTGGCAGAAGAAAGAAGATTGAAAATAAGAGAAAAGATAGTGAAAGAGAAAAAAAAAACTTTTCTATCTCTTCATACACTAATTTGATTGTTTTTACACTAATTTGATTGTTAAATTTGCAATGGGTACAATTTTGGCGAGAATCATATTTGAGCAATTATCAAGTTTGTCTTGCTCTCTACAATTTTGTATTCTCCTGCTTTTAATTAATTTCTTTTTTGTTTTTAATCTTTGCATTGGTGAAGAAAGATTTTTATAATTTTCATATAAGTAGAATGTATTTATGTGAATAACTTAAACATAAAATACTCTGACTCGAATAATGATATGAACTGTTCTTATTTGATACTTTCGTTAGAGCTTGAATTTCACAAGTTAGATGTTCAAACCTTAGGTCTTTGGAGAAAACTTACAGTAAACAATTTCAGCGAATCATGTTTTACTCCTTTGTTTATTGCATTCAAATTACCAATATAAACTCCCTGAAAAAGAGTAAGTATAAGAAACAATAACTAAAATCCAATTTTTCTTATTCTTACTTATAAATTTATTATAACTGGTTGTAGAATTAAAATCAATTAATTTTATATAATTTAACTATCTTAGTAATATAATAAGGAAAAATAGAGAGAGAGACTTTTTGTAAAAAAATCTATTTTTGATTGTTTGGGTATACAATAATATGTATATTGTCCTTTAATCTAACACTACTTTTATAAAATTTATGTACCAAAAAAATAAATACACATCCTAATAATTACAATAATTAGATATAAAATATACTTTTGGCTCAATATTAAATTTTAGAAATACTTTTGGAATGATATATAGTTTAATAATATTTATATAATTTTTTTAAGTTTTATATTTATGAATATAGAGTACATGCACAAAGCACGTACCATAAACTAGTTAGATTAAATATTTGATCATACCACCCGCAGTCACAAAGTAGACGAAGGTGCCATGGTTGGTAGACCTTTTTGGAAGCATTTCTCATGTGTAAAACCCAAATTCGAATTTATCTTGAGCCTTGTCGGACTCTCCCTTTTCTTTGTGCTTTTTATTTTCTTTTATCTCATTCATTTCCCTTTTCAGCTATTTCCCAATTTCCTAATTTGTCGTTTTATGACTTTTATATTTCCTTTCTCTATTTTATTATTTTATTTGTAATTTCAAGCGAGAATACTCAAAAAAGAGATTGCAAAATTTTAAAATCCCATAAAACAAGCATTTTTCTTAATATCAAATATGTGAGTTTTATTCTTCCAAAATTGAAAAACTTTGGTCTTGATGAAAATTTTGGATTGAGATCAAAATTAACTTTCATAATTTCTTGAGTTTATTATATCATAACAATTTATGCTATTCTATGGTTGTTAAATAGAAGTTAAATCTCTTTACTATTAAATTGTGATGCAATTTTTGTAAATATTTCTTAGAAAAATATGAGATTTATGATTTTGATTTTTGGGAACTTGTACTTTATCTTATTCTACATTTACTTATAGGTTATATTGTTGAAGATATTTTTATTTCTTATTTTGATTGGAATAATTTCCTTATTGAGGATGTTATTTTACTTGTACAAATTTATTTTATACAGAAAAAGATGTAATATTCCCTAATGAAAATATTAATTTTAAAGTGAGTATATATGCCAAAAATTACGATTTTAAGATATCAAGATCACACAAGATTATGCATCTAAAGAGATTTATTTATTATTCAGTTGCATTGGTACTAGTGGAGCAAGGGTAAAGAGAAAACTAAAAAAAAACTATAAAATAAAGTAAAAGCTCCAAACTTAAAAGAAGCACATTTGGTGCAGTCATCAGAGCTTTTACACAGGCGTTGGCAGGCGAACCAAAAGTTGACCGCTCATGACACTGCAAAATGAAAAAGAGAAGAATTTTGGATTTATCAAACATAAATGAAGAGAAATTCAAGAAAGCAACTGAAATAGTTAGGCTAATGGACCAACCTCTTTATGTAATAATAACAGAAATCAGCCAGGATAAACGTTTGAACAATTTCTGAGATAAAGACCATTGGTATCCACAAGTATCCCCTTCCAGCCAAATACAGATATGCTCCACTAGTGTCATACACCTGTGTATATGAATATTCAGTCTCTGGAAATTAAAAGGCTCAAGCAATAAAGTATGTCCTTTTAAATATTTTCAAGGTCTAATGAAAGGGAAGAAAAGAAAAGAAAGGTCGTCCCAAAGCTTAAACTGTTATGAAAAAAAACCTTGTTTTTGTTATGTCTACATACATTGTTATCTTTTTTTGGAACCAAGTAAATGGCATGGAGATACTTTTGTTGACGGCTATTAGTGATGCTCGAAACCAAGACCATCAGTAGTGTACGAAATTGAGTCATGAATCACTTCATATATAAGCTTAAACCAGGACCTAATTGGACTCAAATTAAAGCTTACCTGAACAATCCAATGAGCACAAGTCAAGAATCTTTGAATACCCAATGCAAAAACATAATGGGCTGTAAATGGCTCGATTATCTGAAATGCAAGAATACAAACTATTATAAGCTCTTGTGGCCAGAAACTAAGATCTGCAAAGAGCACATGATTTATTATTTTGCTAATAGGGAATAAGAACCTGAACATTCTGCATCAAGCGAAGCTGAGGCAGTACAGAGATGGCTTCCAGATATGAAGAAAAAGCCCAAAGCACATCAGTTAATATAGAGTGACGCGTATGAGGATGGATAAGAATAGCTACAACAGCACACGGCGCCATCTGTGTAAACGCCAAAGCAACATTAACATACTTGAAACATAAAGGACTTTCAAGAAATTCAAACTATATCTTGCATAAAACCAATTACTCCTTCCGTTCCAATTTATGTGAACATGTTTGACTGAACACGAAGTTTAAGAAAAAATGAATACTTTTGAAATGTGTGGTCCTAAACAAGTCAAAAAGGAGTCCAAAGTATTTGTGTGGTTATAAAAGTTTCTCATTAAGGGTAGACTTGTAAGTTTAAGCTAAATTGTTACCAAATTTAGAAAGGGGTCATTCTTTTTAGAACGGACCAAAAAGGAAATAGGTTCACATAAATTAGAACAGAGGGAGTAGTACTTATATAGAAGAAACTTCTTGTGCGCTTTTGGCTTGACTCCAATTTGCGGACTAATCCAAAACACCGGGGTGTATGCAAGGGCGAAGCTACACTTTGGTGAGGTGGTTAATTGACCACCCTTTGTCGAAAAATTACACTACGTATATAAGTAAAATATTAGGTTTAGAGGTATAAAACATATATTGAACACCTTTTGGCGAAATTGTTTTGCTTCTTTTAAATTTGAACACCCTTAGAGAAATTCCTGGCTTCGCCGTTGGGAGTATGGACCCGCCCCTCTTCCTTTGAACTTAATACTCTATAAGATTTTATTTATGGCAGCGTTCGAATGTATGTGCACCTAAGCCACACATTGCTGTATACTTAATACTGAACCAAAGCTAGAGGCCCTTAATTTAATTGATTGAAAGTAACCGATAAGCGTCAACTATTGAAAATTACTTTCAAGTGCTATAATTGATTCTATGAAGAAACAACTACGTATATAAATAGAAAAATTGAAACGATAATGGAATCGTGACAATGAAGGTAAGAGATGATGTTACTTCCAGAAGCTCAAGGACTTAATGTTCCAACAACTTAAGTGTCAATGTCATAGGAGTCAGCAAGGAATCAGTATAAAACCAGAATATAATTTGTGCAAACAGCAATCATGACAAAAGAAAGCCAATGGGGGAAAGAATGAATTTACCAAATGCCACAAGGGCATGCTATCCAGATCAGCCATGTAGGAAGACTTCAACTTGGACTTTTTCATCATACGTATGACCCAAAATGTTGCCACAAGTGTAACAAGATCTAGAAGAAAGTGTATAGGTGCTGACATGATGTAACCACAAAACAATCTTACACCTAAAAATATCTCTGTAACCACTTGAGTCTTCAATGAAATGCCTAATCACAGCAGCAGAATGAAATATGATCATCAGATGAATGGTATCATAATAACATGTTTGATTATATACTAAGTAACATTTAGAATCAGGAGCTAATTTACCAGAGCAAGTCTTGAGGGTAGACAACTTGTAAATCAAACATAAGAGTCCAACGAAATGAACAAACTCTGCCAAAACGAAGAAGTGATTGTGTTTTTTTATGAAGAACTTGAGAATCACCACTAAAGCCAATGATGTGACGACACCTAAGAAAATCTTAACATTTTTTGACTGCCTTCGCACCCATAAGAAGAGCTTTTTGACTGGCATTTGCAACTCCTTCTCACCCATTTCTCTTTGCACTTTCTTGATCTCTTCTCAAATTGAAAAAGTTCATGAGAAAACAGTGACTATGTATACTTCCTCCTCTATTACATGTGGAATAGCAGAAATATTTGACACGAGAGCTCGACCAATCATTAGTTGACACGTTGTTTTAGTGGTCATCCCTGTAACACATTGATGGACATTGGAGTAGAAGACTCATCGCTCATGTGAGAGCAACTTCAGCTCAGACTAATAATTACTATAACGCAATTTGAATTGAATATCAAGGAAAATAGCCATTGGACATTAATGAATGTGTCTGCCATTGATACTTTATTACTACTTCCCATAAGTCGGGCTTAAGAAACTCTTCTTGCCTATCACCCCCATTGACTTTTCGGATATGGTGATAATGGAAAAGCATATAACTAAAATATTCAACTGGAATTATTTATGAACAAATTAGAAAAATCAGAAATTTTGGTTCAAACATTGCATATATAGGACAAAAATATACTCCTTCTATCACCGTTTCTCCCCCCTCAAACTTTTTACATCATTTATTGGAGTAAGGATTGACTCCATCTTGTTTTTGCTGAGGACACTTACTTTAGACCAACTTGATTTGGCTAAACAACACTTAATTTTAGACTAGATGGTACATTTACTTGTAAAATCAGAAAATTGTCCTAATAATTTGTTTTCTAAGCGGAGGCAAAAACACTAGGTGATTTCTTCCGATCTGTTCAAGTCTTGGTGGACAGAGTTACCTGGTACCTATTGCTGGTAGGAGGTGACATGCTATCATCTGGAATTAGTCGAGATGCACGCAAGCTGAATTAGAATATGCTCTATTTTCTCAAAATATTTCATGAAAGGAGTACTTTAGAGTACTACTCGATGTTAATTAGGGTACTGGAGCAGTCAATGTTACAGGGTATGCCTTTTATTTATTTATTTATTTATAGAATATGATTTATTTCTACTACAAAGTGTTGAAAGGGTTTTTAATACTTGAAAAATGGAGTGTAGATAATTAATTACTGTCAGCAAGAAATGAGATCACGTGTTTAATGCATTGGTTTCCTCCATGGAGTAAGAAAAGGAACATAATCACATAATCATTTAGCCTTCGTTTTACACAAGGACTATATTATATTATTCTTGGAGAAATTCGATTTGATCTGGATCTGGAAGGGACCAACAAATAAGTAAGACATAATGGCAATATTTAGCTTGACTTGAACTCAATATGTGCGTGAGAAATAAATGCCTAATCACAAATGCTAGTGACTGTGGAATAAGATGAACGTCCAATCAATTTATTGCTCAAGCTAACTTGGAATCATTCTATAAATAATTGCAGCAGTTCAAACTTCATATTCACAAGTATGAAGTTTTGCGGTTCAAACTTGATATCACTAGTATGAAGTTTGGACTATTACAACTAAGCTTTAGACTGGTGGAAAAACTGATGACCGATTTATTAATACTGGAAACCTTATATTTCCAAAAATTAATCTAATTTTATTCCATAACAACAAGAGACGGTTCCAGCAAACATGTGATCTCCATCAATTTGATTACGATTTTATTTTTCTCTTCATATAATATTTGATATAAGGGACGCGCTATACCACCTCTCTAAATGGATTTCCACCAAAAGATTACGAACCATCTCGTGTAGTCGTCAGTGATGGCCCTAGAAAAACAGGACCACTACTAGAAATTCGGTAAATACCGATCAAAATTTTCCGACCAACATTGATCGGTCAAAAAAAGCGACCAAAGTTGGACGAAAACTGGGAGAAAAATATTTTACATTTATTTTAAAAAAAATATCGACCAAAGTTGGTCGGTAATTTGGTCAACAAGTTAACCGAATTGGTCAGACTTGCTTAGTCAAAGAAACTTTCACATTACCGACCAACTTTGGTCGGTAATGTGAACCCAATTTTTAAAATTTTAATAGTTATATTATTATTTAAAATATTTTATAAAATTTAAAGAAATTTTATTTAAAATTACCGACCAAAGTTGGTCGGTTAATGCAGGGGAAGCATTTACCGACCAACGTTGGTCGGTATATTTTAATTTCTGGAAAATAACCGACCAAAGTTGGTCGGTTATTAGGTCAACATTGGTCAAAATTATGAATCACTTTTATATTCACTATCTAAATAATATAAATGTAATCCGTTAACACTTTTGTAATACAAATAATGAATACACTAATATATACTATAACATGCTATATATGTAGTTAAAGTAGTACAACAAAGCGTGTTATATATATATATATATATATATATATATATAGGTCAAACGTTTTGTTTTTAATATTCAATGATGCATCTAACTAAGTTATAAGTCGATGAATCAATTTAGAAATAGATATATTTGATGATAAATTATATATACTAATTAGGATTTTCACAAGTCTATCCCTAAAAGAACCCAACCCTGTGGTAGACCGATATCCTCGAAATGAATCGGTTCAATGCAGCTATCCGTCCGGTTAGCCTTTGTACAGCTTTCACGCTGTCTACGATAGTGATATCCTCGATCACCTTAATCTTATCGGGGTTGATTTCAATTCTCCGATTTGATACCATGAAACCGAGGAATTTGCCTAAGCCGACCCCGAAGGCACATTTTTCGGGGTTAAGTTTCATGTTGTACTTCCTCAAGATTTTGAATGTTTCCTGCAAATGAATCAAATGATTCTCTGCGCGCAGGGACTTAACTAACATATCATCAATATAAACTTCCATTGATTTGCCTATCTGTTCCTCGAACATTTTATTAACTAGGCGTTGGTATGTAGCTCCAACATTTTTTAGCCCGAAGGGCATTACATTGTAACAATATGTTCCAAACTTAGTGATAAATGAGGTCTTCTCCTGGTCCTCCAGGTTCATCTGAATTTGATTGTACCCAGCGTAGGCATCGAGAAAGGTAAGGATCTCGTGGCCGGCCATGACATCGATCATGCGAACGATGTTAGGCAGTGAAAAAGGGTCTTTGGGGCTTGCCTTGTTTAAATATTTATAATCTACGCACATTCTAAATTTGTTCCCTTTCTTAGGGACTACAACTACGTTGGCTAACCACTTGAAATATTTTACCTCCCGAATGGACCCAATTCTAAGAAGTTTAGCTACCTCATCCTTTATGAATGTATGCTTCACCTCGGGCTGGAGCCTCTTTTTTTGCTTCACTGGTTTGAACCTGGGGTCGAGGTTCAATCTGTGTGTTGTTATTTCCAGTGGGATCCTGTCATGTCTAAATGAGACCAAGAAAAACAATCCATGTTATCGATAAGAAATTGAATGGGGTTTTTCCTGAGTTTGGGGGTTAACCCCGTTTCCAGGTATACCTTTCTCTCGGGCATGCACTCAATCAGTATGACCTGTTCCAATTCCTCGACCGTTGACTTGGTTGCATTTGACTCTTCGGGAACAACGAAAGTTCGAGGAGTAAGGAAATCTTTTTCTTCTTCTTTGATTATATGTTCCTTCGATTTGGTCGAGATTGGGGACGATGATTGCTATTTGGCCGTCTGCTTATCTTTGGTGCTTGATTTTTTCGAGGTCGAAAGCACTGGTATCGGTGTCACCTCATCGATTGCAAACATTTTCTTTGCAACATGTTGTTCTCTGTAAACCGTTTTCACACCATCCTCTGTTGGGAATTTCATCATCTGATGAAGGGTTGAATATACTGCCCTCATGTTGTGGATCCATGGCCTCCCGAGTAATGCATTATATCTCTAGTCGCCTTCGATGACATGAAATTTTGTATCTTGGATGGTCCCGACCACATTCACTGGTAGGATTATCTCCCCCCTTTGTTGTTTCGCTTGCCATGTTGAAGTCATTCAAGACTCGAGATGTAGGTACAATTTGGTCCTGCAGGCCGAGCTGCTCTACGACCCTCAATCTGATTATGTTTGCTGAGCTACCTGGATCCACCAAAACACATTTAACTTGAACTTTATTAAACAAAATAGAAATTACCAGGGCGTCACTATGTGGATGAGATATGCCTTCCCTTCCTCGTCATTGAATGATAGGACGCCCTCGGGCACATAACTCTGAGTCCGTTTTTTTCTGGTGATCGACACTTTGGTCCGTTTGAATATAGGCCCTTGTGGAACATCGACACCGTCAATGATCATATGAATTACATGTTGCGGTTCTTCCTACTCATTCTTTCTGTTTGCATCTCTTCCCCTGAAGTGGTTCTTAGCTCGATCACTGAGAAACTCTCGAAGATGACCCTTGTTGAACAATCAAGCTACTTCCTCCCTCAGCTGCCTGCAGTATTTAGTCTTATGACCATGTGTGCCATGATATTTACACATCAAGTTTGGATTCCGTTGAGAAGGATCGGTTTGTATAGGATGGGCCACATGGTGTCTTTGATTCTTCCAATAGCTAACACGATCCCCAACGCATCTACACTAAAATTATACTCCGACAACCGAGGTGCTTCTGCGGGATCGGTATGTTTATTAAAACCATGCTTACTCATAAGTGCCCGAGAATGCTGTCCCTGATCGTTTATTCGATCGTTCCGAGGAGGATTGCGCCCCGAACCGTTGTTTCTTCGATTCTAGACATATGGCTTATATCGTTCCCTATTGGACCATGGTTCCCTGTCTGTATCCCTCGGGGCCTTAACCGCTAATCTATTTGGATGAACTGAGCCCGAGGGGGCTCCCAGCTAGTCGTCCTCGACCCTGATCTTCGACTGGTAACGATTACGTACATCTGCCCAAGTCATGGCTGGATACTCAATCAGATTTTGCTTCTACTGTCGTGACGCGATCGGACTATGCTCGTTCAACCCCTGCATAAAAGCTTGTACCGCCCAATCATCCGAGACCAGTGGTAATTCCATTCGCTCCATTTGAAATCGGGATACGAACTCCCTTAGCATCTCATCATTCCTTTGTTTTATCTTAAAAACGCCCGATTTTCTTATCGCAACCTTTACAGCTCCAGCATGTGCTTTCACAAAGGCGTCTGCTAACATATCAAATGAATCGATAGAATTCGGCGGCAAGTTATGATACCAAATCATTGCTCCCTTTGACAAAGTTTCTACAAATATTTTCAACAATACCGACTCGATCTCATCATCATTTAAGTCGTTTCCTTTAATCCCGCAAGTGTACTAGGTAATGTGTTCATTAGGATCGCTCGTTCTGTTGTATTAAGGTATATCGGGCATACAAAACTTTTTGGGGATGGGCATCAGAGCCGCGCTTGGGGGAA